TATCCCCCCAAAACATTTAAAATCTTAGCTGTGGGTAATAGCCCCATATTTGGCTTTTGCCCAGGCTGCTCTCCAGTTAGACCACTAACCCCCTGATAGTCCAAATTCTTGTCTCTTATATTTTAATCCTCTTGACTTGGGCTATAGTCCCTGTAAGCCCTTGGTCTGACAACCTGTTTCAAGCCACTTCTCTAGATGCCACCCTTGACTGGCCTGCTTCATTTCACATTTCATGCCTCCTTTAGTCTTGGTGCAACCACAACTCTGCTTTTAAAGTATGCCCAAGCCCAGCTCTGGGGGATCTCCTAACCCTCCCAGGCTCCTCCTACAGGCCAGGTGTTTAACAGCAAGTCAGCTCACTTCTGGCCTGGTCCTGACCTTAACCAATAGGTTCCAGCACTGGGATTTTCTTTTTTCTTCCTTAATTCCCACCTTCGGCCCCAATCCCTGAAACTGAATGTGCCATGTTTCTTTGGGCCTTATACCTTCATTTCTTTAGTCTTCTTGACTGTATCCTGCTCCTAAAACCAAAGTCTTCATGATTGCATCTCGATTTCTAGATGCCCTGTATCCTTTCTGCCCAAATCTCTACCTATTATGTGGTAATTAATTTCCCCCAAGTCATTTAGACAATTCCAGTAACTCATAGCCATCTTACTTTTAATCTTCACCCAATTTAAACTCCAGTGAGAGACAATCAAGAATTCATGAATACATATATTTTTATTTAATTCTTAATATAGCATTTTGGATGGGCTGGGATATTTTAGAGGGGTGAGGCTGTGTAATCCGCAGACGCTCAGATTTCTGTTACTAGGAGAGACACTATTGGTCCAGAGATCCCAGTACAAACAAGCCTGGGGTAAAATATTTGATAAAAAATAGTCCAACAATCGTCTAATAAATATTCTAGCTAACGATAACAACACAGCATATGTCCGAAACTGGCAGACCAGACTGTAAAAGGCAGTTTTACCTAACCTGATGACAGTCAACCTGGCAAACCTGTAATACACAGGCAAACACAGCCCAATGGCTCCAAGGCTGCAATTGGCTTCAGAAATTGAAATAAGTGTGGGAGTGGTTCTCATCTGTCAGCCTCACATTCTCCATTCTGTAGAGGAAAGGGTATCAAATATTTGAGCTTATCAAAAAGCCCATCTATGGATTGCTCCATCCAGGTAGTCATATATAAATACGTAAACCATGGAAGCTTAGAAAATTCACCTAGTGTATTTTAGCTGAAAAGAACTTAGAAGTGATTTGCTGCAATCTGAATTTCACTGCATCCAGTTACACAATGGAATTACATGATAAAAACACATACAGATGCAGTTACTCTTACTTACAAGTAGCCAGAATTCCAATGTGACATTAAAATTTCTTTCATATTCTCAAAACAGGTTTGACTTTACTTTTGCTTATCTTTGTGCTTTCTTCAATAAGACAATATAAAAAGTGGAAATAAGCATAAATTGCAGACAGAAAGAATAATTTGCTAGCAGAAAGAATTGTAGGAGAACAGATTGAGTAGAGCAACAACAACGAAAATTTATGGAGTCACCTTCCAGGAAGATATGAAATACAGGTCCTATTCCCTTTGTCCAACTGGGTTTAGCTAGAGGTAGTCAATGACTTCTCTTAAGGTCGCTGGCATTGCCAGTATTCTATGAAAGTCTTAAGTTTACTGAAGTGAGTATCTGGGACTCACCACACCTCCACTGCGTACTTTGCCACTAGATTGTTTCTTGGAAAGCACTTCTCATTATTTGGCTCAGAAATTTCATTGCTCACCCCAAACCCAGTTTAATTTCCTACTTTATTCAGTAGGCTTAGCTCTGAGTGATTTTTGGCTATAATCAAAACTTAAACCCACCTTCAAAGAACAAAGTCCGAAAAGATTGAAAAATTATTGAAAAAATGGTGCTATATGCTCCAGACAATTCCCCAAGTCAACTTCCAAAGAGCTTTTGAGAAGGACAATGCTCATTTATATCTATGAGTCCCGGGACATCTGCAAAATAATATCAATACGGCCCAAATGGAGAAGTAACTAAGCTTTTCTGCCCAGGAAACAACAAACACCAGTATGGATATCAGAGTACAATAGGGAAACTTTGATCATTCATTCATTCACTCACTCAATAAACATTAGCCAGGCAACTACTCTGTTCCACACACTATGCCAGGTGTTAAACAACAAACACAGAAGACACAGTCCCTGCCCTCAAGGTAGTCAAAGTCTAGTAGGGAAGATGATTAGTATAAACTTTTGTGTGCATCAGAAGTACCTGGGGAACTTGTTAAAAATGTAAAATTCCACCTGTGTGCCCAGATACTCTAATTAAGTAGATCAGAGGTAGGGGGCCTAGGAATCAATTGTTTTAACAAACACCAAAGTTGATTCTAACAGGTTGTCTGAAGACCACACTTTGAAAAACACTGTTATACAATGTGATTATTGCTGAGGTGGGGGATGCTCAGCTTGCCCCAGGAGCTCTGAAGAAGAGAACATAGCCCAGTCTAGGGGTCAGGAGTTAACCTGGTTGAGAGGGGCAGGGGTGGGGAAAGGTAGTCCAGGCTTGGGTCAAAAGTAGGGTGGGGATATTGTTTTGTCTCAGAGCACTAAAATCTGAAGGACACAAAAATGAATGGCATGGGAAACCCAAGGACAAGGCAAAGGAAACTGGACTGGAGCGGGGGTGGAGTGTTCTGCACTTACCGCATTTTCACACTGTTCCCTTAATTTAAGAACAATTCCTAGTGTTTCCTGTGGGCATCAAAATTGTTAATAATGTCTCTGTTTCAGGCCCAGAGAACAACTTGTGTAAATAGTTAAGCTTGGCTAGAGTAACCAGTGTGAGAGGGAAAGTGGCAAAAGGTGAGGCTGAGAAAGCAAATGGAGACCTGAAAAGCCAAACCCTAAGTAACTGGGAGCTTCTACTGAATGCTATGGGAGCCAGTGAAAGGTTTTATGAAGGAGGAAAAAGTCATGTGTTTTGTTTAAGAATTTGGGGATAGGCTCTAGAGGAGAGACCAGAGCAACTTAGAAATGAAAGGCATACACCTTAAACCACCACTACACTGTACTGGGACTGAGGCTGGGGGAGGAGATGAGTATTTCTTGCACGCTTAACTAAATGCCAGGCACCGTGCTAGGCAGTTTACATGTGCTATCTATTTAAATCTTTGCAACAGCCTCATGAGGTAGGTATTATTTTACAGAAGAGGAAACAGAGGCTCAGAGAAGTGAAGTACTTGCCCTAGGTCACACTGCTACTAAATGGCAGAGGAACTAGGATTATGTTAGTCCAAAGGCTATGAGCTTCCCATTACAGCAACTATTTCCCAGCACTGCTGAATCTTAATGAGGTTGCTCATTTCCTGATTAGAAGTACATATGGCTTTTAAAACCAAAAAGCTGACTTGGCCACTAGATAGGTAAGTTGGAGACTGCCATCTGTATCTGCATCAGTCCTGCTTTCCACGTGAGGTGAACAAACAATACAAAACTGTAATTTTGGGGATTTATATAGATACTTTGTCTCTCCTACAGAATAGTAAGCCGTTTGACAGCAGGGACTGTGTTTTATCAGTATGTCAGCAATAGCGTGGTACCTGGCATCTAGTAGTTTGTTGAATGAATTAATGAAGAACATCCACCATGGTGGTGGAAAGGAAGAGGGGAGAAGTTGGGCATCGTTTCACGGCTCCAATCTGGGGGCTTGTTACAGCTACCACTTTGTACAACAGTAATATTTTCACAACTCCCAAGAAGTAGAGTCCTTGAAGCAGACTTAGCTCCTGGAAAGGAGAAAGCTCTGGTTCTGACGTCCCCACTCCCTGCTGTGGAACTGACAAAAACGCAGACCATACAGCTTGATTCCCTTCACCGATAGTGATGAGGACTGGGATGAAGCTTACATCTGCATTTGCCATGAAGTGTTGGCTAAGCAGATGAACAGTGTAAACAAGACTGCAAGAGGAATGATTATTTAACCTGTTTAAGAACAGGTTAAGAACAAACTGTTCTCAGGCATTCTTAAGCACTTTAGAAGTGTTTTATCTGAAAATACAAGTACATTTATGTGCAAATAGTTCTTGCATCTATAACACTCCATTCTTACTAAGTAAATAAAGCAGGTTCATAAAGAACCTCCATTAGGCAACTCTTTTTTTTTTAGCCTAATTCTAGTAACTGTATGCACTTGAGAGTAATAAAACTATATTTCTTTGAAATATTCTGTGATGGAATCTTTAACAATTCAGGCGAATCTCCTCCTTTAGGTAGCCTCAATGAAACTGCTACATATAACACTTCTACCTGGATCAATTTTCTATCCAGCAATAGCATCTCTTGTGCAATCTTGTCCCCCAATATTTCCTAATCCAACCTAGAGCTCTTCCCACCATCTATGTCATTATTGCATGTATATGTGTGTGTGACAGGAGGGAGGGAGGGATAAATGGAGGAAGGGGAGAAATGTTAACTGATTTTGATGTTCCCTTTAGGGGACAAAAATGGATGGTATAATTTATTTTCCCTTCTAGTATATTTCTCACTCAAATGAGCAAATTAAAAAGTTTATTATGTATATATAATTATAAAATGAATATATAATACATATTATTTATTCATTTTATATATATATATTATATATACACATACGTTTCCTTTATAATAAATCCTTGATTTTAGGTTTTTATCAAAAGCTACATATAATATGTGATCATTTGACATTTCAAAATTCTACTTGGCCAAATTGGCCAGTACTAGAAAGGCTGACACCCCTCCCTTTCTGGCTGGCTAGCCCCTTGTTCAGAGCATCTTTCTACATTATGTACCTAGAATTACCCTAATTGCTTCCAATATCATTTATACTCCTAAATCACTGGGAATTTTTAATTCTCCAATGACGAGAGGCATTCATTAAATTCCTTCTCCAATGGCTTGAACGCACACTACTCAGATAATTTGTTCTGAGAAACTCAATACATTAAACTCAAATACAAGTTTTAATGCACAAAAATTAAATCTATAATATCTAGTTATTTTGGATGCTTCAAATGAACTTTATTTTTGTATCTCGGATATTGGACACTAACTGAGGTTTAGGAGGGGAAGAACTGCTGAACTGGAGAGCCAGTGAATTATACGCTCTGTTGAAACTTAATGGCAAGCTTTCATCCCAGAAACATAAGGGGATTCTTGAGGCCTGCAGTTGCATTCCTGCCGCTCGGGGTAATCAATAAAATCTGGGGCAGGCAAGCCAGACAGGATCATTAGGGATTTGTTCCAGATTGTGAATGTTGGACAAACTGGAAGAATGAAGGTCACATCAAAAGTATGAAGATGGAGAGAGTTAGCTGGGTCATAGAAAGACAGCATGTTGTTGTCATAATCCAGAAGGACACCCAGACGCTTCAACTGCGGAGGCACATCCACCAGCATCTCCTTGTTGTTATGTCTCACGACGAAGTTACTATTGCATCGAGAGAAGACCCAGGAGGAAGCATTCTTGCCGATCCATTCATTCTTGGGAGCTGATTTGTAGGCAATGCCAATTGCATACCTGTGAGACAGCAGAAAGGAGAGAGAAATAAACATTTACTAATGATCTGGGTTGTGCTAGACACCATACGGGATATAGAAGAAACAGAATACATGTTTCTTCCTTAAATAGTTTACATTTAGATCCATAATGTTGATACCACTAGAGCTTTAAAAAGTTAGCAATTAGAGTGATGTAGTAGTTTCCAATTCCTAGCTCAGTATGTTTTCCATGATTTTTATTAGAAAACACTGGCAAAGTTTTCTAGGAGTGGTTTTCATCGCATGCCTTTTAACTTTGACTTACTGGTATTATGTTTGTGCTACAGAACTGAACCTCCCAGGAACCTAACAACAGGGGAGAGAAGAGAAAAGAGAAGTAGGCTCCACTCACCACGTCGAGGAACCCATGACCACCTCCCAGTAGTGGCAGCCACTGTCAATGAATATATTTCCTGCCGCCCCATAGCACCCTGTGCCACTAAACCTCTCTGGGGTATGGCTCTTCTTCAGAGAGCTTTCATCCTTCTCCATCTGCAATCCATCATTGGAGATCTTCAACTTCTTGTGAGTCATTTTGGGATCCAGTTTAAAGGGTTGGCCTGAAAAAAGCAGAAAAAAGAAAATGCATGAGGAAGTGTTTAAGAATTCGTCCTTCAGGACCATCACTACCAGAGGAGCCTCCATATGAGGATCATTCTTGGGTCAGTGCAAGTTGGTTGCTGTTCAGATTATATTAAGAAAGCAGGCCAGAAGCCTCTGTTTTTAATAAAATAAGAAAAAGCTGTCCCCTCTTCATATATTATCAACTTAAAAGGGGGCTGTCAGGGTCTCACGTTCCAAAATATGTTTTGTACTTTGCTTTATTTCATTGGGTAGTCTGGGACTTGAGCAGATTTTAGGGGAAGGAGTGTTTGAGGTGAGACAAAGTGAGGGAATTGATGAGATAATTGCTGCTTAGTGGCAGATCAAAAAAAGAACTGAATAAATAAAAAATTTAAAAAAAAAAGAACTGAGAATAACTCAGCAATGGGACAATGTTTTGCCCTCTTAAAACTGAGATGTAAATAATATATAATTAGGTAAATTTGTTAGAGTGATTGTTGCATCATCAATGATTAGAGAAAATATTTGTTGTGTGGGATCATTCACAACAAGTCATAGGACAAAACCAGTTATTAGGAGCCAATTGCTGGGTATGGCAAGAGCTGTATTATACAAAATGAGTCTGTGGCAGACACCATTGGCGAACACAACACCCATTCCCTACTTTTTCTCTCTTACCCACTTTCACTATAGAGGCTAGAAAAGCTAAGTACTTAAGCCCCTAGCTTCCCGTGCTGCTAGGAGTGGCTAATAAGATGGAAGCAGATAGAAGCAGAAGTCAGACATGGTGGGGAAAGCTTCTGGGAAAGTGCTTGTTTTCTGATAAAAGGGATAACCATCATGTATACCAACCCTTTCCCCCTTCTTCCTACCTTGAAAGGAAATATTACATCTAGAGATTGCAGTGGCCATGTTGTGACCATGTGGCAATAAGCCAATACACAAAGGGAGAAGGAGCCTGGGTCTTTTATGATATCACAGAGCTACTGCACCGGCCCTGAACCACCTACCTTCAAACTTCTTGCTATGTGATAGAGAGAAAAAAGTGCTTTGCTTAAGCTACTAACTATTTGTTAAGCTAAGTTAGTTGAATTTTCTGTCACTTGCAGTCAAAAGCATTCCTAGCAGGTATGGTTTCTCTGCAGTAGGATTTTACCAGATTATCACAAATAGTATTCTTTTACTCAACTGTCCCCCAAGCATGGAAGTGGGTGGGGTGCAAAGAAAAACCCTTCACTAATATCCTCCCAAGGCACCAGCTATTTTATATATATCTCTGTGTCCACATTATCTCCCAGGGGCACGAAGAAACCCTTTGCCCAAAGCACAAACTACAAAGTTCCTCTACCGGGTACCTCTGCTCTCTTGCACTGCTGTGGGTGCCTGCTCGGGCTGAGTGTACTCCCTAGCATGGAGGGAAAAAGTGATCTCTCCTTTCGGAATCACCATAACATACTGTTTGTTTTTAGGCGGGTAGGTTCACTGTTCCGGCTGCCTGCTTGGTTTATGGCTTTAACAATGAAGATGTAGCGTGTCCCACTCTGGAGTCCGTGCACTGTGTAATGGTTCTGTTTAATGTTGGGTACAATCATCCAGCTATCCACTGAATTATACAGGCCTGTAACATGGGGAAAGACAAGGATGTTAACCAGCAGGTAATAGAGACAGGATGAGCAGCACACTGAAAATTCATCATAAGCCCTCCCAAAAGTGAATTTCATTTTGTTTTCTTTTGAGTCCTGGAACACATAGTGAGATGAACCTCCTCTACTTCTTTTCTCCCATGGATCCAGGCTTATGCGAGGCTCCTCACTTCTGGTAATTGAATGTAACCACCAGTGAAAGTTAGGTTATTTCAATTTTCTGCCAAATAATACAGGAAAAGCTACTATACAAAATCACAGAATCATCTCTTTTATGGAGTCTCTAGATCTTTACCCCAAAGGTCCAATCTTCTGAGAGCTGAGTCTGGCCTCGTATGGATGGAGAGGTCCTGTGCAGAGCACAGGAACATGGAATCTCCAAGCCGAAAGGACACCTAGACGCTATATTTCCATAATTTTACAAATGGGAAACTAAGATCAAGAGAAGAGAAGTGACTTCCCCAAGGCCACAGATAGCTGGTGATGGTGCTGAGAGCAGAACCCTGGTCTCCTTAATCCTAGTCCAGTGTTCTCTCCACTACATCACAATTCATAAGGTGAATAACAATGTTCCTTTGTCTCTGCAAGGTAGTGAACCTTTCAGGGCTCATTGACTAAACTCTCCCACCCCATCCTCACCCTTACTTCCAAAACTAGCTGGGCTCTAAGGTATCATAGGGAAGCCAGGAGATGCCATGATAACCAAAGCAAAATAGCATCTCGTCACTTGACACTACCCACTTGTACCCCTTCTTGGTTCTGATTCCAAAACTCATTTGAAGTTGGGTGGTCCAGGAACACATTGTTGTCTGGAACTTTCTTCCCTCTCAAGTAGGGAAAGGGATCAGAGATCTAGGTTTCTGCTTTTGAAACTCTTTAGACCATAAACATTGACTTAAACAGAGAAAAATGTACATAATTAAAAACATGTACTTGGCTAACTTTTCGTAAAAGAAAGATCGACATTCTAGTTTGTGGATGATCTAGACTTCTCTCTTTTTTTCAGTTGGTTTACAGCTTTTTAACCACAATTCTACCAGAGGCTAAAAGAGAAAGGGCAAGGAAAATGAGCAGTAAATTTAGTCACTTCTATGCAACTCTAGTAAATGGTTTAGTGAGGTTAAAAATTGAAAATAATAATGAGTGTTTTGAAAGTGATTTGATCATGAGGGTTTTATAATTAATTTGGGGGGAGGTTAAAAAAATCTAAATTAAAACTAGGAAAAGAAGCATAATGGAGGGCAAATAGATATGCTATAGAAAGAAGAATAATTGGTGGAGATGCTCAGTGATTCTTAGGAAAAGACAAGAAGGATAAGGGCCAGGAACAATGTTTGAGGGCTTGGCTGTCTACATACCAATGCACAGTATGAATCATAAATTGTGCATGAAATTTCAATACAAATACAAAAATAAATGATCTTCCAGATATACTCCCAACAATACAAAACATAAAACATAACAAACTTAACAATGAAGTACCATGTAGCTGTAAAAAAAAAGAATGACGAGGGAGCCGGCCCTGTAGCATAGTGGTTAAGTTCGGCATGCTCCACTTCAGCAGCCCAGGTTCGCGGGTTCCGATCCTGGGCGCAGACCTACACCACTCGTCAGCCATGCTCTGGCGGCAACCCACACAAAATGGAAGAATATTGGCACAGATGTTAGCTGAGGGTGGATCTTCCTCAACCAAAAAGAGTAAGATTGGCAACAGATGTTAGCTGAGGGTGAATCTTCCTCAACAAAAATAAAACAAAACAAAAGATTGTGGAAGATCTCTATGAACTGACATGGAGTGATTTCCAGGGCATATTATTAATTGAAAAAAGCAAATTGTAGGGGCCGGCCCAGTGGCGTAGGGGTTAAGTTCGCGCATTCTGCTTCAGCAGCCCGGGGTTTCCCGGTTCAGATCCTGGACGTGGATGTACTCACCACTCATCAAGCCATGCTGAGGTGGTGTCACATATAGAACAACTACAACTCTAAAACTATGATACACAACTATGTACCTGGGCTTTGGGGAGAAAAAAGAAAAAAAAAAAGAGGAAGATTGGCAACAGATGTTAGCACAGGTCCAATCTTCCTAGAAAAAAAGCAAATTGTAAAAGCATATAAAGCATGCTACCTTTTTTGCAAGAAAGACAGACAAATAAGAAAACATACATATATTTGCTTGGATTTACAAAACAACAATAACAGGAAGAAAAACCCAGAAAATAATAAGTTGGTTACTTACAAGGGATAGGGGTGGGGGAACGGGATTAAAAAGATATGAGAGAGACTGACACTTCTCTGAGTATACTTCATAGTTTTCCCTTTTGGAAACATACTGTTGTTTTACAAATTCAAAAAATTAAAATGAAATCAATATGAATGGGAAGACTGGGGACTAAAACTGAAGGCAAACTGAAACAAATGAACCCAAGTGCATTGCAAATGAAAAACAACCACACCAAGAGGATGGGGGCAGGGGGAGAACTGCAGACAAATCCTGAATTACTGTTTGTTTTTGTAGTGGTATGGGCAAAGTAATTCTGAAACTATTTTAGATGTATTACAGGATTGAGCAAATGAGTAATGTGTTGATGTTGTGGGGAGCCAGGGTTCTCATTGTGGAAGTAGGAACATACAAATGTGGAATGGGAGAAGACAGGAAAGAACCTGTGGGGATGGACTGGAATGGAGGTATTGGTATGAACTCATGATTTCTAAAATATATATATGTATATTTATGTGCGTACATATGCGCACATATGTCAAGTGTGTGTGTCATGTGTGCATACGGATACATACGTGGGTGTATGTGTGTATTTCTAGTACCCAGGTCTTGGTCTCTAATACCATTCTCACACTAAAAGGAAGCAGGTTCCTTGGAAAAATGGCTGATTTCAAGGCTGGGGCAGGATATAGTCAAAATGAGCCTAGAACCTTTTATTATCCTGGAAAGTAAGGAAGTGCTCCAAAAAATGATGGGAGAATGAATATAAAGACTCTGGAGTCAGCTTAAAAGGCTCCCACTGGCTAAATCTGGGCAATTTAAGCACCAAAATAAGTTAGCGCAGTAAAAAAGTATAAACCACTGAAAAAAAAAAGAATTCATGAGTCCATAATGATAAGTAGATAAATAAATAAACAAATGGAGGGTGGGGCTTTTGCTTACAGTAAAATGCCAAGTGCCAACTTGTAAACACGGGAGGGAACGCTCAGTTAAAAAATCATCATTTGGGGGCCAGTCCGGTGGCGCAAGCAGTTAAGTGCGCACGCTCCGCTGCGGCGGCCTGGGGTCCGCCAGTTCGGATCCGGGTGCGCACCGATGCACCGCTTGTCAAGCCATGCTGTGGCGGCGTCCCACATAAAGTGGAGGAAGATGGGCACAGATGTTAGCCCAGGGCCAGTCTTCCTCATCAAAAAAGAGGAGGATTGGCATCGGATGTTAGCTCAGGGCCGATATTCCTCACAAAAAAAAAAAAAATTATCATTTTGCAATCGTCAGAGTAAATATTGGATCAGGCAAGAATTACTGACTGATGCTAAAACAAGAATGAGGGTGGGATGGGTTTGGTGAGGAAGCAGGATATTTTCATAGTCTTAAAGTATCACCACACAGAATGCTTACTAGTTGCAAAAGGAAGAAGAGTAACTATACAGTGAAGAAATCAGGCAACACCTTTGACCAGGTGATCAAAATCAGCACCACCAGTGAAGGGGAAGTGGACATCATGTGCCTCCAGATGTGATGTCCTAAAGAGGACACAACACCTCTTACGTAGTATTCCAGCCATGAATGCATAATTTGAATATAATAGTGAGGAAACCTGAGGCAAACCCAAAGGAAAGAACATTATAATAAAGAAATAAAAGGGCACTTTTAAAACTGTAATGTCTGGGGCCGACCCGGTGGCGCAAGCAGTTAAGAGCACACGCTCCGCTGTGGTGGCCCAGGGTTCGCCGGTTCGGATCCCGGGCGCACACCGACGCACTGCTTGTCAAGCCATGCTGTGGTGGCGTCCCATATAAAGTGGAGGAAGATGGGCACAGATGTTAGCCCAGGGCCAGTCTTCCTCAGCAAAAAGAGGAGGATTGGCAGATGTTAGCTCAGGGACGATCTTCCTCAAAAAGAAAAAAAAAAAACATGTAAATGTCATTAAAGACAAAGAAAGGCTTAGGAAATGTTCCAGATTAAAGAAGGCTAGAGATATGACAAATGCAATACCTGATCTTAGTCTGTAAAGGACAATATTGGGTCCTTCATACGTTATAAAGGATATTAGCAGGTCAGCAGTCAAGAGTGGAATATGAATGGTGGATTAGATAAAAGTATTGCATCAGTGTTAAATCTCTGGAAGTTGATAACTGTACCGTGGTTATGTAAGAGAATTTCCTTATTCTTAGGAAACATACACTGAAGAATTTAGGAGTGAAAGGCCATGATGTATGCAATTTACTCTCAAATGGTTCCAAAAAAAGGGACAGACATAGAGAATGCTAGCAAATGATAAAGGAAATCGGGCAAAATATTAACAATAGGCGAATCTGGGGAAAAAGTATATGGGTGTTGTTTGTGCTAGTCTTGAAAATTTCTGTAATTTTGAAGACATTTCCAAATTTTAAAAAGATAAATATATGATCCTCTGGGTATCACTGAGACTTGGTGAAATGAGATTTATAATTAAATTATGGTAATGGAAGGATATATTGTTCAAAAGGGAAAGACCACAATATGGAAATCCATGAACCTGAGTGGAAATGTGTGGTGGAAAGCATCTGCATGAGAATGAAAAGGAGGGGAAACAAAAGTTATATCTTTGCGGCAGTATGTTACAGACTACCTGGCCAGACAGAGGTTATAGCCAGTGCTTTCATAACACAAAACACCAAATTGAAACAGAGGAAAGATATACAGTAATGGGGAAGACAGTCATCCAAACATCTGTTGAAATTCTTATTCAGTTAACAGCATCATCTGAAACATTATTGGCTTGTGACCATTTCAAATCATAGATGAGATGTGGAGAAAGTTAAAAATGAAGGAAAACAGTTGAAAAAAAAATAAGGGGAACTACTTTTCCAGACAAAATTCTAATCAACAGGGAAGAAATTTCTGGTTAAAGAAAATGTGGAGTTTGACTATTTTAAGATTCCTGAAATAAGTAGTATCATATAGTATTTGTCCTTCTGTGTCTGGCTTATCTCACTTCACATAATGTCCTCCAGATTCATCCATGTTGTCACAATTGGCAGAATTTTCTTCTTTTTTAAGGCTCAATAACATTCCATTGTATGTATATACCACATTTTCTTTATCCATTCATCTGTTGATGGACAACCTTTTGTATGTCAATTGCACCTCACTAAAGTGGCTTAAAAAAAGAGAAAATGTGGAAAAACTTGAAGGGAAAGCAGCTCTCAGAACCAAGGTTCAGTCAACAGTGGCAGGCCAGACTGGCAGGCCTCTGGGATGAATCTTCATAAATATTTATTCCTAGTAAAATAGTTTCATCTTATCTGCCCATTACCATCCAAAATTTTGCTTCAGGGCTCTGCCCTTGTCCCTGTCCCATTCCACTTTTCTATCAGTGATCGGAGGAAGACATAGAAAGCAGGCTGGGGGGAAAAGTAAACGGAAGGCAGAGATTGGATTCAAAAAGATTTTGGCAGGCTGGACTGAGGAGCCAAAGCTAACCAGATAAAATGTAATAGGGATAAATTCAAAGTGTTGTATTTAGTTTAGACACTCAACTGTATAGGAACAGGATTTGGAATACCTGGGGATTTCAGCTGACTGTATGCTCAGTTTTCACTCAGTAGTCAACATGGCTCCTGGAATACAAGTATGGGGCAGGGGGGCACCAGCTAATGTACAAGAGAAATAATCCAGCTGTCTTCTGCAGTGGGACAATGAAGAACTGTCATGTGAAAGATGGATCAGGTTTGTTAGTGAGGCACAAAGGACAGGACTAGGACTAATTGGTAGCTGTACTTTAATTCAAGGAGCATTAAGCTTGATGTCTGACAGGCTTGGGTTCAAATTTTGACTCCAACAGTTTGTAGCTCTGTGACCTTGGGCAACTCATTTAACTTGAGCCTCGGTTTCTTCATCTATAAAACAGAATTAATATTATCTATTTCATAAGGCTAAGTAAGAACTCATGAGGACTAAATGAGATAATGCATGTTGGAGTGTTTGTAAATGGCAAAGCATAATACACATGTAAATTATTATTGTCATTATTATTTACTAGGAAGAGGAAGAGTTAGGCCTTTTATAAGGAATCACTGACAATTATTTATAGCTGCACAATTGAATGGGCTGTTTTGTTAAAAGTGAGCTACTCCTCACTAGAAATAATCAAGCAGAGACACGACGATCATCTACTGGGTGTCTGGTAGAAGGGAAGAAGATTAAACTAGATGACTTCTAAGGTCTCTTCTAATTCTAAGAAGCTATGATCCTATTGCTATTAAGAATTATCCTTTAAGGGCCGGCCCCGTGGCTCAGCGGTTGAGTGTGTGTGCTCCGCTACTGGCGGCCCGGGTTCAGATCCCGACGCACCGATTCTCCGGCCATGCTGAGGTTGTGCCCCACATACAGCAACTAGAAGGATGTGCAACTATGACATACAACTATCTACTGGGGCTTTGGGGGGAAAAAAAAGGAGGAGGATTGGCAATAGATGTTAGCTCAGAGCAGGTCTTCCTCAGCAAAAAGAGGAGGATTAGCACTGATGTTAGCTCAGGGCTGATCTTCCTCACACACACACAAAAAAAGAATTATCCTTTAAGCTTTTCTTTACAAAGGACTACGTTTCCTTGAAAATAGAAGTGACAGCCATTAGATCTTTGTCACTTCTTGGACTTATTCTCAACTCCCAGGATACCACTGCTCTCCCCATATCAGGAAGGAGAAGCACAATTGCTGGCTCTAAGACTTCCCAGAGCAGGAGAGACAAGTGCAGACAAGTCATGTAGGGGGAGGCCTTAGTGTTTATGACTTCACAACCTGAAGAAACACCCAAGAACACAGCTACCCAGGCCAAGTGGGTTAGATGGGAGCTGCACAAGGCAAGTGTTTTTTAGAGTTTGACCCCAAATGTCCTCTCACCTCTCCACCCCACCACGTGGCACAGAATTGTCACAAAACAGGAAAAGGAAGCCTATCAGGAGGGTTTCATTGGAAAAACTCCTCTCATGTGGGCCTATGAAGTCAGACACAGAAGCACAAAAACAAAGTAAAAGAAAATACTAATTTGCAGCTATGCAGATGCAATCTTAGAGTGGGAATCAGTTCCAGTCTTGAATCCAGCTTTTTTTTTTTTTTTTTTAAAGATTTTATTTATTTTATTTTTTCCCCCCAAAGCCCCAGTAGATAGTTGTATGTCATAGCTGCACATCCTTCTAGTTGCTGTATGTGGGACTCGGCCTCAGGATGGACGGAGAAGTGGTGCCTCGATGCGCACCCGGGATCCGAACCCGGGCCACCAGCATTGCAGCGTGCGCACTTAACCACCAAGCCACAGGGCCGGCCCCTTGAATCCAGCTTTAATTCTGCTTTCATTGCCATTTTTCTCCAACACATTGAGGGAAACTTGCAGCTTGACCCTTCTTGTCTGGCAATCAATGAATTAAGTTCCTACTCTGCCTTGTCTTACTCCAATTCATCAGAAGGTTGAACCATAACACGTAAGCTAAATGACTGCTTTTGGAATATCTTTCATTTTATGGCCCACCGACACGTTTTTATATTTGGTGTAATTCTTGGAGGAAAGAGAGAAGGGGTAAAGGGAGAAGAGTTAAAGGGAAGAGTGACAGAGGCAGGAGGCTTGTCACTATATTCACTGATACAAATGGGTACAGTAAAGGAAGTAGTAGTCTTTGAACATAATGTACTTTACCATGACAATGAAGTGGAAGAAGAGTCAAGGAGAGAGATGTTCACACACACAGAATCAGCAATGATGGTGGCTTATCTACCCAGGAATGACTTCCGAGCTGTGTTCTGACTTGGGAGAGTGGAGTGACATGGATTAACTGAGGAAAGGCTAAAGATTACATAAACAAATGGGAGTGTCCCCAGTGACTGCCCAGCAAAGAAATACACAACTTGCTTGTCACCCATCAGTAAGGTCTTTGCAATGCCCTAAGGGAGCTTACACTGTCTACGAAACACTATACTAAACAACCTGACATGTCTTACAAACACTTGCCTCGTGGCGCCCCGGCCAATCTTGAGCAGCTTACTGCTTCCTTACATTTCCTTATCTCTGGCCACAGGCCCCAACTACACCATGACTTACTGATGAAGTTAGCCTGGCCAGTGAATATGGTGTACTGAAGCTCATAGGAGCTGATGCTGAACTCATCATCCGAGATCCAGTGGACTGTAATGGTGTCATGGGAGGCAGTACAGAGTTCCTCTCGGATAGATGGTGGGTTTGGGGCTGTAAAGAAAGGTGGAAAAGAGGGTAAGGAAAGCATATTCTCTGTTCTGGAATTTTAAAATTGTTACTCTTGCTGCCCGACCCAACATCTCATGAAGAGAAGGTTTTCTTAATAAGAAGCTATAGATTGCATGTACTATACAACCTAAATCCAAGTGCTGAGACCTTAAACTCCCCCAAACCACTTTTGCTTCAATGATAAAGATATTTTAGGCAAAGATAAAGCCTAAGTTATTGAAATAATTGCCCAATTGTCTACTCTGCCTGTACAAACACATATGTAGATATTAGAGCGAAGTGGTCACATGGTTTTCTTATTACATGACCTTCAACCTATTTTTTTATTTCAAAATGTTTTATTACATATTTTTGGCAGTATAGCCAAGTGCAAATTAATATGAGTTCCCTCATCTGTAAAATGGGGATGATAATTACCTCATAGATTTGTTGTGAGGATTCATGATATAAAATTAATATACAGTGTCTGGCATAAAGTTGATGCTCAATAAATGACAGCTATTTAATATATTAACAAAAGTAACTACAAACACAAAGTTATTGTGTGTGCATATTTTTCTCATGAAATAATCATTCAACAATCCTGAAGGCAGCCAGCATTTTTTACAGGCTGGTTGCATCTCTCATTTTCTAAAATTCTCTGCAAGCCAGATATTTCTGACATTTTTCTTCCTAATCTGCTAATTCCTAAGTTCCCTTAAAACCATTTGAGTGGTGCCTGTACCCACGTGGGACATTCTCTAATATTCCATAACTGCCACCTGAGTTCTACTCCCATAACAAGCGATAATATATTGCTGATAGTCTTGTAAGGAGCAATCCATCAGCAACTTCTTGTTTTTTACTTTTATGTATGGATTGGATACCCATTTTGTCCCCAGAAATATTTGACAAGTCACCTTTCTTTTGTTACATGAACTAAAATGTATCTAAAAAGATATGTGTATCATTTTAAAGGATATAAAAGCATTCTCATTATAAATATTGTCCTTTTCAGATTATTTTAGAGTAAAAGCACACCAAAAACAAAAGGATTAAAATGGTAAGGAAAGCACAGTATTTTCACACCTGTTAAATAATCTAGCCCCTCGAGCAATTTCTTTTCTCTGGAAAAATCTAAAGCAAAGTTTTCAAAGGCATCATTAAAATTGATATCTGGAATCAGAACTTGAGAAGATGCAGTTGCCATAGCGACCCTGGAAGAGAGAAAAGTACATCAATATACATCAAAATAGGTTTGCAAGCTTTATCCAGTGTTTGATTTCTGGTTTAACAACATGAAAAAAATGACTTGTAGGGCTTGATTCATTAAGTGAAAAATATCATATATGTGCTTTTGCAATGGAAACCATTTAAATTTTATTCATCAGGCACCAATTAAGAGTTATACCATATTTATTCACATATGTTCACCCCTCAAACACACCCCTCCATCCTGTCTTAATTTTGAGAAGAAAATACAGGATTTTTTTTCCCTCTGCATCATTTCCCATCTGGCTGGTAGCATCAAGACCTCCAAAGGCTTGGTAAGAGCAGTTTGAGAGATTTTTTTTTCTCCCCCTCTATTTTTTTTTATGTTAATCAATAAGCCAGCACGCTGGGTCTAGGTTAAAACCTTCCCCTAAATGCTATACTTTATTGTATCTTTTATAACATTTACATTTAATTTTATTATTCTCTAATTGTATAATGCTATGCTAGTTTTATCTCCTCAACTAATTCTAAGGGTCTCAAGAGCAGGGTTCATATTTTGTACCTCTTATATCTTCTATGGTCACTAACACAGTGTTGGACATGTAGTAAATATGAATAAATGTTGAATCAATAACTGAATGATTACAACAACAACACACTGCTAACATTTATTGAGCATTTAGTATATACAAGACACCATGCATGCACTTTACATACATTATCGAATTTATTCCTTACCATAACCTATGTAGTAAATGTTGTTTCCATTTTGTAAATAAGAAAGGCGACACATATAAAGGTTAATTAATTTGCCCAAAGTCACAACTAGTAAGGGTCAGAAAAAAAAAGAAATATAACTGAACCCCTGTTCATTAAATTCTAAACTCTATACCCTTAACCATTTAGACAATTCCTTTTAAAAAAAAATTAAGGTATATTTGTATATACTTTGGCAATTCTTAACCACGGTTACACATCAGAATTATCTTGGGGAGCTTTGAGCAAAGCATACATGTTAAGGCCTGTGTCAGACCTTCTGAATCAGAGCCAGTGAAGATCCTTAAGCATGCAAATGACAGAACGGAAAGAAACATTAACTTGGCAACAACGTGTGGCTTAGAGTGCAGGGAAGAGACATTGAATCTAGGAATCTTTCATTCTAGGAAGACCAGAGTGAAAACTTTCATGGTGAATTAGTTGTAAGGGGATGAGGAGTTAAACAAATACACATCCTCATGCATATATACCTTGCTACACATCTACCAACAATAGTTCTTGGCTGTTTCTGAAAATAGAGATGTTTCAGGAATAAACTGCAGGCCAGGATAAACAAATGAAAGACTAACTCAATGCAATCTTAAGGTCTCACATTGAGTAGCCAATCTTCCAGAATTTTATGAGTAAGAATACACGACCTCTTTAGGGCAAGAGGTAAGGCAGAAAATTGGCTCATGAAATTTTCCCTAGCCTCCTCAACCTTCTCTCTTTCTTCCTTCCATCCATCCACCCACCCAGCCACCCATCCGTCCATTGAATACTTACTGAGCACAACTAATGTGCCAGGCACTGTGGTAGGTTAGTTGTGGTCCTTGACCTCACAGAGCTCACAGATCATGGAAGAGAAAGACAATAAAGAGGCAACACAAGTGCCGCTACAAAGGGAGTGGAGTATACACAAGAGTCACCTGGCAGGGACTTGGGCACTAAGGGAAATCTCCCCAGAGGAACTTCATTTTAAGCAATGACATACACGATGAATAGGAGTTAGCTGAGCAAAGACTTTGTGGATGCGTGTGTGTTCTCTCTTGCCTGAAGGCTGAAGAATTAGGCAAAGTCACGCAGGGCCTTGTAGGCCATGTTACAAACTTTGTACTTTATCCTAAGAGCAATGGGAGCCACTGAAGCATTTTAGGCAGAGGAGTGATATGCTCAAATGTATGTTTTAAGAAGAGTACTCTGGCTGCAGTGGATGCACTGGAAGGGGTCGAAATTAGAGGCAGATCAGATTTTAAGGTGTCTAGGAATGAGCAAAAAGTAAAGTGGTGACAGGAGTGTAGGCAAAACAGAGTTAATTCACAAAACATGAAAACAAATAGCAAACAAGTATATTAAAAAGCCAAACTATGTGATAAATCAAAGAACATAAATTAAAATGAGATAGCATTTAAGATGATAAATAATGACAATATAGGAGCATTTCATGCCTATATTAAATAATGCCTACATATTTCTATTAGGACTAAAATTGATACAAATTTTGGAGGCCAAATTTAGCATTAAATATCAAAACAGTTTAAAATGTAAATATTATTTGATGCATTTTACTTCATAAATTTTTTACTAAGAAAATAACTAAGATATATACAAAGATACAACTACAAGGGCACTCAACACACTGTATGTAACCTGATTGTCTAAGAGTGGGGTCTGAGCTAAGTAATGTGTTATACATCAAGAGATGAAAATGCTAACAGGTCACTGGAAATTAGGTTATATGATAATATCCAATGACAGGAAAAGTTTGTGATATATTGTTAAGTTTCAAACATAGGGTAAAATGCAGGATATACAGCATAACCTTATGTTTTTGAAATATATACATACATATATAAATATTGGGAGACTATACTCCTAAATGTTAACAGTGGCTGGAAGGTTAAGGATGAGTTAAAAATGACATTGGGGTATATGTACGTGTGCATGTGTGTCTGTGTTTCTATGTTTAAGCAAAACACAACATTAGCTATCTCTCAATGTTTTCATCTCTATTAGGAGTGATATAAGTTTCATTTGTAAGGAGGAAGGAATAACTCTCCCAGCTAATACACTACAATAAATAATGGTGGGGACGAATTTTAGACCCTATGAGAGACCATTGAGAATGACATTTAAGTTGAGTAGATGATTCTCAAGCCATACCACATAGATAGCCATCTATTCCACCTACCCCATAGGCTATACCTGAGCCTATGAAAAGAAGATTTAGATAGAGAGTTGGAAATCATCAATATCTAGATGGTAATTGAAGCCCTAGGAGCTATAAGTTTGCAACAGGGAGACTGTGTAGTGGGAAAAGAGAATAACCTAAGACAGAATCACAAAGAACAATAGCATTAAAGGAATAGGTCAAGGAAGAGTTGCTCACAAAGGCAAAAGAAACCAGATAGGTAGAAAGAAAACCAGGAGTGTTCGTTGAAGCTAACAGCAGAGAAATTTCAAGTAAAAATGGTCAGTAGGGACAAATCCTACTGAGAGACCAGGTAAGATGAAACAGTAAGAAAAAACAAAGCAATATCTATTATATTTAGCAACAAGGTATTCATTTGGTGACCTTGGAAAGAACACTTTCAATAGTGTGGTAGTGGCAGAAGACATTTCAGAGAGTTGAAGAATGAGTGGGGATATTAAATACAGTGGTTTAAATATATGTTTTATCTCTGCTTTCATGAAATCCCACTGAAATTACAGTCAAAGAATAAAATGTCATAAACTCACAAAGACAAAGGGAATGGAAAAAGAGATGCCAGTGAGTGAGAGATTGTCAACAAATTTTTGGAAGCTAAAAAGGGGTGGATGAGTAGTAACCAACAACAGACCAGAGAAAGTTGGATTGGGCAGCCAACAACATCAAGCTGATTTAGTGCTACAGACAGTTGAAAGTTTGCCTGAGGAACAGCTAGACCCCCAGATCCACTCAATCAGAGACTACCGCTCCCTCATCCTAGTAGGAGAGGTGAGGTTTCCTTTCTGCAGAGCTTTGATGCTATACTAAAGGCCGTCTTAAAACTCTCAGCTCCCTTTCCTTGCTTGGCTCCCAGAATGGTGGCAGCCAGACTTATACCCTTCACCCCCCACCAGAAGCAGGAGATTGGTGGATTCCTTCCAGGGATAACTGACCCAAGAGAAAACACCTACAGAACTGACACTTGGGGTCCCCTCAATAAAAATCTGGCATTCTGTTTTATAATCCTACAGCAAAGCTCACCAAGCAACAAACTGTTCCCAATCCCTCAGATCTTCCAGTCACCCTTTAGGGCTTAAATTTAAACAGGCAGCCAAAAGCTTACCAAACATTTAGGAAAAGACAGAAACTAAAACGAACTAACAGAGAAAAGAAACTTGGAGGAAACCAAGACAATGCAGTTTAGAAGAAAACTTTTTAAATGATCATTAATAGCCTCAGAAAGATAAACAAATAGTCTGTATCCACAAAGCAAGGACAGAATGCTAAAAAAGAAAGATCAAGAAAGAGCTCTTACAAATAAAAATATGAATGCTGAAATTAAAATTATGATGGAAGGATTGGATGAAAAATTAAGGAAATGTTTTAGATGATAGAACAAGAAGATAAAGTCATGGAAAAGATGGGAAACAAAAGATTTCAAAAATCAGAGGCAAAATCTATGATGTCCAACATCTGACTAATTAGAGTCCCAGAAAGAGAGAAGAGAGAAAATAAAGGTGAGGAAATTATTAGCAAATAATACAAGAAATTTTCCCAGAACTAAAAGTCAGTAGTGCTTGGATTGGAAAGACCCACTTAGTGCCCAACAAAAATGAATGATAAAAGACCCACACCAAGGCATATCTTGGTGAAATTTCAGAAAAACTAGATTAAAGATAAGACCTTAAAAGCTTCAGATTTTAAAACATAGGTCATATTCAAAAGATCAAGAATCAAACTAGCAGTGGACTTCACAACACAACACTGGATGTTAGGAGACAATAGAGCCATGCCTTCAAAATTATAAGAGAAATTTATTTCAACCTATCAAATGTCAAAATAAATTTGACATATTTTTTCGAACAAAAAGTTCTCAAAAATTTGCTTCCCATATACTCTTTCTTAGGAAGCTATGGGAAAATTTGCTCCAACAAAATTAAGGGAGTAAAATGGTACATGAAGGGAAAATCTGGTGGAGCCTGATGGAGTCCCTAATTAAGAACACAAGCTGAGAGTCCAGGGAGATAAGTTGGCTGGAGTTCACAGGGCAGAGTACAAGAGAGAAGAAAGCTGCACAGAGAGAATTCTGGAGACCTTCTGAGGGTTCCTTTCTAGTATTCAGCAAAGTATTGATCAATATATGCATGTGAGCAAACTGCCCAATGCCAGGGAAAGAGTCACCCAAAAAGATTAGAGGGAACAATCCCTAGTGCTCACACAGGGGCAGGAATAGTGTCTGTTCCCATTGGCCAGACTGGAAAATCTCATGATTCATGGGGCACTCAGTAGAGCACTCAGGAAGGGTCTTGCCTCAGCAGTGGGGAAAAATTTCGCTAGACTAAACACTGCTATGAACTCATCTAACAAATCTTAAAAGACCTGAAAGAATCAAGCTATGTTCAAGTAACTTAACTATGTCCCAAAAGAAAGCTTAAGAATATTTATAGGAATATAAAAATATACAGCACCCAATAAGATAAAATTCACAATGTCTACCATCCAACCAAAAATTACTAGACACACAACGATGCAAGAAAATACAACCCATAATGAGGAGAAAAAGCAACCAATTGAAACTGACCAAGAACTGATGAAGATGTTAGAATAAGACATTAAAACAGTTACTATAACTGTATTCCATATGTTCAAAAGCTAGAGGGAAGGCTAAATATGTTAAGTAGAGATATGGAAGATATAAAAAGACCCAAGTTGAGCTTCTAGAGATGAAAACTACAATATCTGAGATGAAGAATACACTAGAGAGGTTAACGGAAGATTAGGCATTACAGAAGAAAAGGTTAGTGAAATTGAAGACATATCATTAGAAACTATCAAAATGAAACCCACAGACAAAAAGAGACTAAAAAAAATGAAGAGAGCATCGGTGAGCTGAGGACAATTTCAAGCAGCCTAATATACGTGTAATTGGAGTCCTCGCAAGAGAGGAAGGAGGTGGTGTAAAAAATATTTAAAGAAATAATGGCTGAAATTTTTCCAAATTTGCATAAGTCAATTGGTAATGTCTGAATTTTTTTAAAAATATAGTAATAAAAGGATGTTATTTAGAAACGTAAAGGTCATGCCAATAGAAACACCTAATAGAGGTGAAATTGCTTGGATTTATTGTAAAAGCCTAGACTATGGCACTAGACTCCCTAGGTTTGAATCCTGCCTCCCCCGCTTACTAATTACGTGATCTTAGGCAAGTCACATAATCTCTCTGAGCCTCATTCTCTCGTTTGTAAAATGGGGATAATAATAGCGTCTATCTCATAAGGTTTTTGTGATAATGAGTCAATACTTAAAAAGGCTTAGAATAATGCCCAGCACAAAGTAAATGCTCAATATTATTATTATTGAAGAACAGAAATTGGGGGGGAGGAGAAGACTGCTATTTCTTACAATATAACTATCAGTAATATCTGATTTTTAACTATGTACTTTAATTATTATTATTGAATTTATTATTACTTTAATATAAATAACTTTTAAATGTTTAGGAAGAGTAAATTAGAGGTGAGGAAATGGAAAGTATTTCATCAAGTTTGCTATGAAGGAAAGGAGAGGAATAGGGCAATAGCTAGAGGGGGTATGAGGTAGAGGAAAGTTGTGGGTATTATTTTTTTAGATAGGAGAGACATGAGTGGGTTTAAAAGTAGATGTGAGGTCAACTAGAAAGGGGGAGAAATTGAAGCTATGAAATAAAAGAGGCATGTGGCCAAAGCACAAATGAAGAGACATCTCTTCCATTATAACCAGGAGGAAAGTGGAAGTGACGGATGTGGATGTAGCTATGCCCAGCAGTTTGGTATGAGAAGTTGAGGAATTTATCATTTCATACCTACCACTCTGTCTATAAACTAAGAGGTAAAGTTATTTGCTGAGCATGAGTAGGAAGGTGGCAGGGTTGGAAGTTTTAGTTGAGTACAGATAATTTGAAATAACCATTATAGAGACAAGGAAAAAAGAAAGCTGACCAGAGCAACACAGAAGGATTTCAGGTCAGTACCGAGGGCCCAGGTGAGACTGAAAGCCATAAATTTGTGGTGCAGTAGTACCAACTGCTTTGGTTATGTGATTTTCTCCAGCAGGGTTCTGCAACTCAAATATAGGCAGAGAAAAGGTGGGAATAGCTGGGCTTATTCAGTTTTGGGTTTTATCAGGTTGGTATGATAAAAAGAGAGTGGGGCAAGGGAACTGGCGATATTGAAAAGAGATTGGCTGAAGTGAGGAATCACAGACCCTAAATAGGCCAAAGAAAGAAGTGAAAACAGTAGGTACCTGGTAGGTAGGAGTCAGGACTTAGAAGTCCCAATGAAGGTGAAGAATAGATGTACTGGAAGAAAAACAGACAACTGTAAGTACAGAGGTTGTAGTTAGAAAGTGAGATGTTTTAATTTATGATTTAAGTGTAATTCTGAGTGATGGCGAGGTTGAGGATGTGGGCCATGGAAGTGGGTGGATGAAGTGGAGCAGAGGTCACTGGAGGAGGGGATGGCAAGAAGCCAGAATGGGTCAGCCATGTGGATGCTGCTAAAGTCACCCAGAATGATGCCAGAAGTAATAGAAAGGAAGACTGTAAATCTGGAGCCAAAGTCTTCAATGAATGAGATGGAGATATAAGGAGATCAAATCTGGCCTAATGAGCCCCTGTAGCCCCTTGAAGCCTTGGTGACTGAACGATGTCTTGCTTTAGACCTCAGACTGTTTGCAAGTGGTGTATAGATGGATTTCTAAAGATTCATGAGTCCTCTGAAATTGTATGCAAAATTTTATGTGTATATATCTTACATGCATTTTTTCCCTTGGGAAGAGGGTTCATAACTTTCATCAAATTTTCAAAGGGGTGACTGACTAAATAAAAGCATAAGAATTACTGCTCTAAAGGATTTACATGAGGAATAACTAAATGAAAACCATAGAAACTTCATGTAGACTTAGGAAGGGCACACACCTATCAATGTGGCCAAAAGTTTCTCTACCTCTACTCCAACACCAACATAGAAAGCTCCAGCCCTGAGTGGGCAGAGGAGAGCTGTTGCATAGCTAGGGCACATGCTTGGCTGTGCATTAGAAGAATTGGTAGGCTGCAGAGACGGAGAGAAGGCTGCCAGAAATCCACAGGGCAATCTGCCACTCAGGCTTAGTAACTACCTAGCTGGTAAAATCTTCAGGTGGCAGCTGCTACATACATGCCTGAACAGAAGTAAGCGACGTTAAGCTGGCCCCTTTTCATAAGAGCAGGCATGTCAAAAGAATATAAGGAACTCACCTCTCAGCAATATTTTTTGCAGACTGGAGAAACCGTGCCTGGTCATTTTCTTTCAGGATATGCTCAGCTTGGTTGATGAGGACTGTTGACCGTTCAAGACACTGGCGGCAATTAGCAACCTGCTGTGCCAACTTTCTCAGTTTCATAACCTTAAAGGAATTAGCAAAAGTAAAATAAGATAAAACATAAAGTGCTTAATTAAAAACGATAAAACAACATGACGGAGATCTGCTGCAGTGATTCTAAAAATAAGGCCTATTAATATCCCATGGTCCCTGTACGAACCACTCACCTTCTCACCCTACCCTCTATGTCTGTCTTGCCAACCCCTCCTCCCACCTACAGACCACTTACTTACCCTGCGACACACACAGTCATAGACTCTATGTTACCTACCTCCTCTTTTTATTGATAACATTAATTTTTCTGATTATAAAAGCAATGCATGCTCGTTATAAAAAATTTAGAAAATAAAAAGTATAAAAAGAAACCCTACCATCCAGAGATCACCATTGTGTCCATTTTATTGTCAATATATTTTCACATACATGTTTAATAAAAAGTATCTCCTTTTTCTTTCTATCTACATTTCTATGTATATATTTCTTTAAGTATCTTTACGCATACCTGTGTGTTCACAGATCTGAGTTCTCAGAAACTTCAATTCCTGTGTTAGTTGGAACCACCCAGCACGGCACAAAGTCATCACTCCAGGCTCTCACAACTTCTCACATTGTACACACAGCACGAGCCTATAATCACTACACTGACCAGCAGACCAACCAGCTTAAAACCATATAGGTGCGTGGAGGCTCACACCTGACCTTCTTGACCACGATTCTTCCGTTCCCAGGTTAAAAGTCTGGAAGTCTTCCCTCTCTCCTTCATCTTTTTTATCTAATCAGTTGATGATTCCCATCACTTCCTTTTTAGCAATGCCTGTTATGTTTTTCCCTTCTATTTGTGCTGCCACTTCCCTGGTTTAGATTTTCATCAACTCATACCAAGAATCATTCCATAAGCCTCATAACTCGCTTCCCTGACTTCAGCATCGTCCCATTCTGATCTATCCTGCACACCCCCACCATATCAATCAGTCTTCTCCTTCCTAAGAAACTAGAATGGTTTCCTAATGCCTTTCAGATTAAGCCCCAAGTCCTTATACTGGCATTCATGGTCCTTCCATAATCCTGGCCCACCTTTCTCCCGTAACTTTTTTTCTTTTTTCTTTTTGTATTGACTTATAACATACATACAATAAAGCACCGAAATCTCAAGTGTACCATTCAATGATTTTTTGCACATATATACACACCCATGTAACCACCAACCAGGTCAAGATATAGTATGTTTCCAATACCCCAGAACTGCCATCACTTTTACTGGCTTCATAGCACTAGACCAAACATTGCTTCTTTGCCTCCCTCCCTACAACCTCATTTCTTCTTGCTTTCATGATCCAAGTTCAAACTGGAATCATTGGGATGAAACTTTGACATTTGTAAAGTCAACTCTGCCTTGGCCTCACTGAAGCGCTGTGCTTTACCTTTGTCTCTTTGATTTTGACAGCAATCATTTGCTTCCTCTGCTGGATGATCTCTACCAACTCGTCACATTCTTCCATAAGTTTTGCCTCATGCATAGCAGTATTCACCTGCCAAGAAAGTCCAGAGTATTACACAGTGATTGCTGCCTTTGTCCCCTGCTGGCTCTCAAAGGTTCGGACTGAAGCTAAGCATGCACAACTTCTTCCATACCTCCCTCATAAGATCCACTCCTAGAAGAAGGGTAGAGATGATGATATTAATGATGCAAGGGCATTGAAGCACCACAGAAAGGAAGCTCTCCGGCCTCTGGTAGATCATGATGGTTAATGGAAGGCTGGGCAGAAGGACAGATGAGATGGGGGCATGTTATTCCCACTGTGCAATTCCCTTTACTCCAGCACCCTGTCCTCCTGCTGTTCTTTGGGAAAGAGGGTAAGGAGATTTAAGTATGTCAGGGAAAGGGGACTCCTCTCTACAGTCACAACAATATTAAGATAATGTTACAACAACATATTTCTACCATCTTAACAAAAGTGTTTTCTGTTTTCCTTGTTCCCTTCTACTTTTAAAATATATGAATGTGCGCCTCTATTTTCACATTAAATATATGCATATGTAGACATATTTTCACATACTTGTCATCATGTCTTAGTAGATATTTCTCACCTTGGGCTGTCCAGCATCTGAATACCTTTCCTACTTTGGTATACTGGCTACATCAAAATATCTCTACTGCAAAGCCAGCATGGGGTTGGAAAAAAAAGCCACCATTCTTCATTGCCTTTCCATGTACCAATTTCTCCTTCTTCTCGCTCTACTACTACTGACATTAGATGGTATGAAGCCCCCTGCTAAAATGAGAGCAGGAGATCTTTGGGCCGCCCAAGTGTAAAGGGAAAGGAAGGGGAAATGAACTTACGTCTTGAAAGCACTTAATGTACCTAGTACTTGATAGATAAATTATTTCACATAATTATCATAACCACTTTATAATATAGGAGCCATTTTTATTCCCATTTCACAGATGGGGAAACTGAGACTCAGAGAATTTTAGTGACTTGTCAAGATCACACAGCTAGTAAGTGGTAAAACCAGAATTCGAACCAAGTCCTGTCAAGCGAAACTCCTGAGCTGGCTGGGTGGGGAGATGAGGTTCAGTTCCATTTCAGCAGCACACAGAGCAGTCACAAAGGGAAGCAACAATCATTCCAAGAGTCTATTCAAGGATCAGAGCTCTAGAAGGCTGAGGAACAGACAATGGGTTACTTGAGAGCATCAAACCCCAAGGGGCCAGATGTGCTTCATTAGCAAGGTAAGGCTGCATTTCCAATCGCTAGCCCTCTTCAGAGGGTTTCTTTACATACTCCAAGCCCAGCAAAATACCTGTCACTGGACCCTGCTGCCTCCTCTCTCATCCTCTAAGGTCCCTGCCGGCCCATTTTCTGTTTCTTACTTAACTGAAATAAAATGCACTTGCCAAATTTCAACCTTATTTTGTTTTATTTCCACTTTCCAGGGGGAACGCCACAATGAGAGCTTCCATTTATTCTGAACAAATAGTCCCACTCTGGCCAGTCTAATTTTTTTCTCAGACTCCTCACTCTTTCCCTAATTGGATCTACCTTTCCAAGGCAGACAATCTCACCTTCTCAAGGAACTCCTACTCAAATTAGAATAAGTGATTCATCTGGTTCTCCCTGGATCCATGCCCAGAGTATCAGGAGACTTAGCTACTTCCCACTTTTAGTTTTTCTTTTGAGGCTGTTGTTGCTGTAGTGCACAATGGTGTAGTGCCTTGTTTCTTGTAATTTAGCCCTTAGACTAACTTTTACATAACACCCACTATATGCCAAGCACTGCTCGAATCAGTTTATATATACTAGCTCTCTCAATCAACAAAACAACCCTATGCGGGAGATACTATTAGCTCCAATTTACAGATAAGGAAAACTGAGAGAGTAAGTGACTTGCTCAAGGCCAAACACCTAGTAAGTGGCAGAGATGGTAAGTGGCAGAGATGGGATTTGGACCCAGGGAGTCTGACTCGCAACTCCACACTTTTAACCATCACACTATACCGCCTCTCCAGTCTAGTGTAACAAAATCTCTGTCTTCAGTTTCTGACAATCGTTACCTCTATTGCACCATCCATCTTCATTCTGTCATCCCATTCTCTTTAGTCATTTCAGACTACTTCTTGTTCCCCTAGAATGCCATGCACTTCCATGTCCTGTGCCTTTGCTTGAGACTCTCCTTTCACTTGGAAAGTCACTTCCCTATTCAATTTTTTTATTATTATCATTTATTTATTTATTGAGATCACATTGGTTCATAACATTATACAGATTTCAAGTGTACATCATCATATTTCGCTTTCTGTATAGACTGTATTGTGCTCACCACCAAAAGTCTAGTTTCCATCCATCACCATACACAACGTCCCCCTTTACCCCTTTTGCCCTTCCCCCCGACTCTGGTAACCATAAATCTGTTCTCTGTATCTATGTGTTTGTTTGTTGTTGTTTTATCTTCCCCATATGAGTGAAATCACATGGTATTTGTCTTTCTCCATCTGACTTATTTCACTCAGCATAATACCCTCAAGGTCCATCCATGTTGTCACAAATGGCAAGATTTCATCTTTTTTATGACTGAGTGGTACTCCATTGTATATCCATAACACGTCTTCTTTATCCATTCATCCGTTGATGGGCACTTAGATTGTTTCCAAGTCTTGGCATCCCTATTTGTTTACTGAACAAACTTCTACTGTCTTTCCAGGCCCTGCTCAAAGATCATCACCTCTGTAACTTTTTCTCACCTGCCTGGACACAACTGGTTCCCTATTTATAGTCCCAGAGCACTTTATATATAATTCAATTATACTACTTACTACCTTATATCATAGAAATTTATTAGTCTGTCTTCCCTGCTCAAACATGAGTTCTGGAGGCCAAAGGTTGTGTCTTATTTGACTATATCTCCAGCATAGTGATTGACATAGGGTAGATGCCCGGTAAATATTGGTTACATTGAATTGAATGGGGGGGAAGTATCTTACTTCTTGCAAGACATGCTCACTTGGTTACTCAAGGTACCCTAAACTCGGTATGTCTAAAAACAAACTCATTATCTTCCCTCTAAATCTGGCTTCTGCCTCTGATTTCCTCTTTTCTGTTAATGCTACTATCATTATTGCAGTTACTCAGATTCAGTTATCTCTGACTCCTACTTATCCCTCATCCTCCACATAAATTCACAGCAGTCCCAAAGTCCTGCCCTCCTTTTCTTTTCAATCACACTTAAGTTCTTCTGGTAATACAGTGAGGCTCTGAGCCAAGGAACGAATAAGTTGAAGCCCTTATCACCCTTTCAGTCTATTATTGTAAAAGTCTCATTAATTCATCCCCTTACCTTCAGAATCTTTCCTTTGCCACTCACCCTCATAATCTGTCCTATATCCTGAAACTAGGAAAAATCATCACCATCTTCATAATCAAACATGTATTAAGCATCTTATGTGTGCAATGCATTATGCTCAGGCCCTGCCCTCAATAAATTTGCAATCTGGATGGGAAAAAGCCACACACATACAAAACAAACAAGTCAAGGTAGCATAGTTAAATACCAATGAGTGATGTAGATTATAATCTAGAGAAACTGAAGGGAAAGATCACTCTCGGTGGGGAAGTGGAGAAAAGATGCCTGAATGAAGTGGGACTTGAAGTGAGCCTTAAGATGGATAGAACTTAGATTTTAAAGGTGAGCAGGAGGGAAATTGTAAGCCAAGCTAAGAAGATTGGACCTTACTCTTTAGGCAATATGGTATCTTCGAAAAATATTTTTAGGGAGAAGGAGGGTAAGATGGCAGGAGAATGACCATAGTTAATTTTTTTTAAGAAGATGAAATGGGATTTATTTGATTGGGGGTAATAGTAAGCTTGGGGACAATTTAGGAGGCTATTGTGATGTGAACAAGGCCTAGCCAAGGAGGGTAACAGGAATAGAAAGGAAAGGTCAAATATGAGAGTACTCTCTTGCTTGAAAATCTTCAATTAGACAGCAAGCTCCTTGAGGAAAGGTTTTATGCTACTTTGTTTCTCCCGCTGTAACAGGCACAACGCCTTACACACAAAAAACACCTAAGAGACATTTACTGATTGATTTAGCAAAGTGAAAAATCAAAATAAGAATGATAAACAATAGAAAATACACTATAGTAAATGCATTTTGTAGAGAAACTGTAGATTGAAGTGAGGGGGCTAGGGTGGAGTGTAGACCGTTGCATCGGGCAAGATGAAATAGCCAGGCACAACCAGTAGAGCGGAAAGTTGGCTGAAGAGGCAAAATCCCAAACTAAAGGTAAAGCAGTGACATTAAAATCTTTCCATGTCAAGAAGCAGAAAAGAGCAGGGTCCTTTAGTGTTTTTTGAACAGGAAATACTCCAGGGAAAAACTGTCTTCATGATGTGAATAAAACATCTCAAATTGCGTGGAAGGTACTTGAAAGCCCTGGTATTTTTCTTGTCTACAGTTTTCTTGGAAAATACAGTGAGGTATTTCACTTGTTTATTAACCCTTAGTTGAAAACAACTGGGGTTATCTTGATAAGCATTCTTGGCTGGTAGGTTGGTTGGTTGCTTGGTTTGTGGAAGACTCCAGCTCTTTATTTGACCTTTGCTCTTTGGTTTGGGTTAGTGGGTTTAACTAAGTGGCTTTATGTCTGTGGAAAAATCTAGCCTCCCTGAAAATACCATTTGATTAATCTTGGCAACCTACTTGTGTAAATGTGCCCACCCCAAAAAACTTTGGGGGCAGTTTCTGATGTTTAAGACAGAGTCTCAGCACTAGTCTTCCAAGGCCTAAGCACAAGGGAACACAGGCCTTCCTGTTAAGTCTCCACGCCCTCTTCTCTGCTCTGTGCTCTTTTCTTTCTTCCCAAAGGCGCGAAGAATTTGACTTGCACATTTCTTTCCAACTGCCCACTCTACTGTATTTCCTAAAGTTCTTTCCTACCTCCCAACCCAAAGATTAAACCCAGTGTCAGACCTAGTCTTCCCCAATTTCCACCCTGACCTGACACAAACACACACATCCCGTTTGAAGG